GCATATCAAGGACATCATCACTTCTGGAACTCATTCTTGCAAAAGTCTCACAGGTTAACTCTATGTCGAGAAGACTGATCGTCTCTATCCTAAATGAAACATATGTTCATAGGCGGACATAGAACAGTTTGATTAGTTCCTTTATGGTCAAGTGAAAGTGTATGTGTGTGTGTGTGTGTGTGAGTGTGTGTGTGAGTTAACCTCTGTACGAATCTCAGGCTATTCAGCGAAACCTGCTTTATTTTCCTATATGCTGGAGATGTCCGCTATATGATGGTCGAAGGCTCAGCACGGATAGATCCGGATCGCAGGAAGATGAGCCGAGGGTTTCTTCGCATAATTGAACAGTCACAAGTCCAAGGCAATCCTCCTTTGGTATATGGTGCGGCCAACTTAGGAATCTTTTGCACCCACATTTTCAATTAAAACAGAAGTTATGCCAGCATATCGAGGAATATTACCTCAGAGATAGAGTCAGGCAGCCGAAAAAGTGGCAAAGAAGACTCTAGCGCAATCCTTTGTGGGGCTTGACCTACACGAATCGCTTAATCACTTTCGCACACTTTCATTCGAATCGGAGATGAGCTTAACAGGGTCCATGGAAAGTCGGAAACCGTCTTAGAGATGGGCTGGCGAGGAGGGACTCAGCGGCGATCGCCAATCCTCCGCCGGTCAGTTGGGGGTGTATATTCGGTCACGGTTGAGTGGAGCGGCATTGTCCAGAGGCGCATGTACCTTCTGCCTGCCTGGTCTGTTCGCCTCGTGGTGACAATGGTGCAGACAACACGCTTCATTGCATGCCATGTGAACTCGAGTGCAGGGAAGAATGACGACTTTTTCCGATTCTACGAGGAAGAATGAGCGAGCCTATGCTTCTGAAAAGAGAAGATGAGCACAATAGAACATTGCCTTATCTGGCTCGTCGCATTGGTCTACAATAAATGGAGCAAGGAAAGGATTGCGACGTCTGTGCGTTTACATAAACAAACTGGCCACTTGGAAGAGGAAAATTAGGAGGTTTAGAAGCCTTGATTGTAATGCCTTTGGACCGGGACAAAACGAATGTAAGCATGCTTTGTAGATTATAGAAATGACCTACAGTAATAGTGCTACATGGCTATGTAGACCGAACTCATTTTATATGAAGAAAAGTTGGGTTTCAAGGAATCTCTTGTTTCATAATTGTTGAGCTTACTTCCATTTTGAGTGGAAGTGTTGGGTGAAGAGATTCGAAGGTCGGTTCCACCAGAAGACGACGGCGGATTCCTCTTGATCAGCTGTCGATTGGCTTTACTGGGAGATTTATGCTGACGCTGCTTTCGAGGCAATCTTCTTCGATTCCGGTGAAAACGTGCTAAGCTTGATTTTTGCTGTGACAATGATACCTTGCTCTGATGATGTTCGTCATATGACGGACGAAAGCTTAGCACGTTTGCACCGGAATCGAAGGAGATTGCCTCGGAAACAGCGTCAGC